AGGAAAATCCAAAAGTCAGTGTCTTGAGCAGGAGAAACAGTGGCATACACAGCCAGCCACCAAGAGGGCTGTGCTTCTTCAGATAGGATCCCAGGGAAGTTAGGACCTAGCCTGGGGCCAGCCTCAAATGCCTCCAGCAGCCAGCCAAGTGTAGAGGAGGGCACAGGACTCAGGAGGGCAGCGCCAAGGAAGGGGGAGGTATCACCCGAGAGTTAAACAGGATCCCCCAAACCCTGAGCAGGATAGCTGGGGTAGGAGGGAGCTCCAGAGCTCCAAGACCTACTCAGGACGAGGGCGGTGAGGTCATTGGGAAAACAGACATGAGTACCCTGCTTCCTCTCAACCCCAATGTGCCCGCCTTACTCCAGGTGTTGGGGAACCCACAGTCTCATGGAGTTTAGATTTCAGAGCAGGAAATGGGCCACTTGTAATGGATATATTTGACGTGTAACCTGTGTGCTATCCTGTTGGGCTATGTGAAAAAATAGAGCTGGATAAGAGCCATAGAGTGCCAGAGTGGGGGGTAGCTAGCACTTTTGGGGGGGTCTCTCCAGAGAAAGGGCGTTAAGGTGGGCATCCTGCTGGGATGTAAGCATTTCCTGGTTAAACCCATCAAGAAAAGGCTGCGGACTCCTGATCGGGGACCGTTCAGTGCCCATTGACCAGGTGGGGCAGACCCCAAAGAGAACCCCAGTCCTCAGCTCCCAAGAGAAGAAACCCAACACTCCTTCATCCCTCTAGCAGTCTGGTGTCCTGTCCAGGCTGTTCTCATTTAGTGCTGACAACTCCCGATGACACAGAAAATCTTATCTCCACTTGCCAATGCGGGGCTCGGTTCCCTAGAGGAAACACAGCAGCTCCCAGTGGCACCCCCATTTCTCTTGTGGCTCACTTCTTCCTAAGGGCCTGTGACCCCAGGTCAAATGACTGTCCAAAATGCTCTCTGGAGACCTGGGGCTGGTCAAGACAAAAGGAATGGCTGTGACGGAGCAAACCCTGCTGTGACCTTGGCGTCTAGGTGGGCTAGGCCAGCAAAGGCTTATGATTGAACTGCTGTCTGCAGTGCAAGCTCAGCCCACCTCTATCCCGTCCCTGGTCCCTGGGGCTGGCCAGCCTTTGGAAGGAAACCACGTGGGTAGAAAAGATGGAGGAATCTGCAGCCATTCAAACCTTATTCCTAGCTACATTTCAAGATTGTGAGTAGAAGGGCATTTACTCTACGTAAGGCTCCCTAAAGATCCAGGCAGTTCATACTAAAGGTGCTAGTGCCCTGCTGGCCGGAGTAGCCCAGGTAGGGTGGCCTCTCTTGCCTCCTGCTAAGTGCAGTCTCACTGTCAGCGTTGCGGTGGGGGTTCTGCTGACTTGATGAGCTCTGGAGCCAACACCTGTGTGACTAATTGACATTTATGACCTACTTTGCACTTATCCAGCACAGATCATAGACTTCTGATGTGTCCAGGAACCTGCCTCTGTCCCAGTGAAGAGAGGCATAAAAGATCTTTTTTGTTTGTTTAGTTTTGTTCTGTTTCAGACCGTGTCTCCCTGCATAGCTCAGGCTGACCATGAACTTGCTTATGTAGGCTGCACTGGCCTTGAACTCATGGCGATCCTCCTGCCTCAGCCTCCAAAGTGCTGGGAACACAGGTGTGTGCCGCCGTACCTGGCAACATAACAGATCTTATCCATTTATTTTCTGTACCCACCATCCAGCCCATGCCCCTTCTGCTTCCGGGTTGCCCTCTGTTGTCCAACCTCCTGAGGCCTCTGGGGAACAGGCTTAAAATCATTCTGGGGGAGAAGGCTGAAAACCCCGATCTCTGTGCTGGAGGCCTCAGAGTCCTTACTGACGGCCTTCTGATGCTCCTGCTTGGATCCTTGGCTTAGGCCTGTGGACCTTCACATTTGCTGTTTATTTCTTACAACTGCGGTAGGTAGCTTTGCCTCTTCCATCCTCCTCCCCAGGATAGTCAGGCTTCCTTTCTCTGGGTGGTGACAAATGGGCGGCCTAGTGAGGGCCACGGGGGCTTGGCTCCCTATTCCTTGTCTGTGAGGTGCCTTGATAGGGAGTCCCCTGCTGGTGGAGCCGCACAGAATACACGCAACGCACAGCAGTGAACTACTTAAAAGGCACTTCAGGGCTGTCATAGAGGTGGGGTGCGATTGGCTCTAAGGTCCCAGACACTGACACTCCAACACAAAGTGCTCCTCAAGTGTCACTCTCCTGCCTCCAGGCCCCTGGCCCTTTGCTGCCTTCTCTGCCCTCACTCAAGAGACCACCCTCCCATTCAGGGCAGTGGCTGCTAGGTCCAGCAGGCCGACTCCTCACCTGCCCACCCCAGTTCGTTTTGGAGCAAATTTAACCCTTTCTCTACCAAGTGCAGCCTACCCTGATTGGGGTTGCAGGCATTAGGGAGTGTGCTACCATTTGTGACTCGTGAGGTGAGAGCGCCCTCTGTGCCTAGGCAGGGAACATTCCTCCATACCCACCACTGCCAAGGGCAGGCAGGAGGAAGAAAATTAAGCTCCCGCTGAAGGAGAAACACCTGACAAGGAGGAGGGGTGGGGGGAAGGCTCAGGAATTCCCTCCTGTGGAGAACTTTCCCCACATAGGACTCAGTTCTCCAGAATGCCATGTCACCATGCCAGTCGCCATGCCAGGCCTGTGACAGGTTCTAGTCCCCTTTTCCTTACTTCCTCAGGCTCAGATCTAGAGCTAGTAAGCTCTGGGGTTGCACCTTCCCATCCACTTGTGTCTTGCCCACCAATCACCACCTGGCACTGCCCGGTGCTCTAGGTTGCTGAAAGAGGCATCTGGTTCCACAGCCTTTCAGTTGATGACCAGTTTTGCACACACCAGCTAAGGTAGCTTGCTGGGCATGTCTTAGCCAACCCACGCCCCACTTAAAGCCACTAGGATCTTTTGCTCCCACTTCCTGGGGCTGGCACCTTAGAATCTTGAGGCCCTAAATGACCCCAAGAAGCCAGCTAGTCGCTCCCTCCCTCCTTCCCTGGCACACTGAATGCACAGTAGTGCCTTGGTAGCCAGGGAAAGCAGCCTCTCTGGCTCTCAAAAAGACAGACCACCAAGGGCTCTCGAACTCCCCAGGCAGTAGCTCAGGATTTGAGCTCCAGCAGGCAGCCCAGCAGATCTGATCCAGGGCTGTGCGGAGGGCTCTCTTCTCCTGTGGCATTGGTGCTGCATTCCCTAGCAATGGTGAACTCACTACCAACCCTCTTCTAGGCAAATTAGGAACAGGGAGCCTCAGAAGCAGCTCGGTCCCTGGGTACAATCTCAGGGTGCAGCTTTTACCAAGTCCCCTGTCCTCCACAGCACGTGCAGATTTTTCTTTGCCTTGGTGCTCCTTGGCCCCCTCCACTTCTGTCTTTCCCTTCCCTTACCCTGCTTTCTCCTCTGGTAGCTTGAGCTCCCTCCCTGTTACCCCCCACCCAGTCTGTCTCTCAGTGTCTGTCCACTCTCTCTCCCCTTTCTCCCCTTCCCTCCTCTTTCATCTCCCCCTCCACCCCCTCTAGTTGAGCTAGGAACGCAGCAGAAGCCTCAACAAGCCCAGGCGGCTCTCCAGACCCTTAGTGCCCCCAGGGGCCAGTTCCTTGCTCCTCCTGCACAGGCTGCAGCCGTGGGGAGAGCGGACCAGCAGGGGCATCAGGTTCGAGCCACAGGCACCTGTAGCCCAGATTAAAGGCCAGGAATGTCTGGCCTGCTGGTGTAGGACTTCCTCCAGCCGTGCCCTCTGCCCCGGGGAGCCCCTGCCACTCCTGGCCTGGGCAGGATTCTGGTGGGCTCTTTCTCTGCCCCTTCTGCTGCGATTCCCTGAACAGGTCCTCGCCTCCCTGTTGTGGATGCTGCTTCTTTCACCCAGGCGATGGCTGCTCCAGAGCCCTGAGTGCCTTGTGTAGCTGGGGAGAGGGGTACTGGGAGGCACGCAGCTGACCAGGTTTAGACCCTCAAATCTGGCCAAAATTTCAGCACCTCTCAGGGCTGAGACCTAATTTCCTGGCTCTGGAGGCAGAAGAGTAAGAAAATCAGGGGGCCCTAGAAAAACCCCTAGAAGGGTTTTTTTCCTAGGGGGACAGTAGGGTATTTGAATGAGTGTTCTGTGCACACAAGGACCGAAAGCCCGGTCGCAGCTCTCCATCGGGCGAAGCCCAGGCCCGGAGGCAGGATAGTTAGGCGGTGCGGGAACCCTGGAGGCCCGAGCTGCTCCGGGCCGGGGCTGCCGCCTTTCCCTGGCTCCAGATGGTTCCACCCCAAGGTCCAACAGGGGACGCGAGTGGAGGGAGCCTCGAGGAGGAGAAAGTGACCCGACTCCGCGAGCAGGAAATGCAACTGGCCGCCGGTGTCAGTCTCAGGAAATGCAGAGGCAGCGGGAGGTCCCGATACCCATCTGATCCCTGACAAAAGACTCCGATGACACCGGGCTCGGTCCCCCGGCGCCGCCCGCGGCCGGACCCGAGCGCCTCCGGGGACGCCTCCGCGTACGCGTCCGACCTGGGAAGCGGCCTCCCGCGGCCAGGTCTCGGGCGGGCCGGCTCGGGGCTCGGGAGGCTGCAGGCTGGGCAGGCTCGCGCCCCACGCCCGGTCCCGCCCGCCGAGCGCGGCTCCTGGCCCCATCCCCGTGCTTTCTACTCGCGACGCCGCGGGGGTCCGCGTCCCGAGGGCCCGCGGGCCCCGATCGATGCCCATCGGTGCCACCCATCGGTGCCCACGCCAGCCTGGCCACCACGTGAGCGCCGGCTCCCGAAAGCTGGCCGGCGGGGCTGGCGGCCGTCCCGGGCCAACCGAGAGCCCGGCGTGCCCCGTGTGCCCGGGGCCCCGCGCGTCGGGGCGCCGCGGGCTTTGCCCAAGTTTGCCGGGAGATGCCCTTCCCGGAGCCCGAGCCCGGGCCGGGCGGGAGGGGCGGTGATTGACAGGCCGAACTACGGAGTCATCCCCACCTTAGGCCGCGGGCGCTGATTGGCTGCTCGCTGACATCCTCAAACCCTGCTGCTCCGCGCCGCGCGGGAGGGGCGGCTGCGGCTGGAGGTGCGCTCCTGACAACCCGAAAGTCATTTCCAACCTCAAGTGGACTTTGTTCCAACTATTGGGGGCGTCGCTCCCCCTCTTCATGGTCGCTGGCAAACTTCCTCCTCGGCGCCGCTTCTAATGGAGCCCCACCTGCTCGGGCTGCTCCTCGGCCTCCTGATCGGTGGCACCAGGGTCCTCGCCGGCTACCCAATTTGGTGGTAAGACTGGCCTCCCGCCTGCCCGCGGCCCCTTCTCCCCGCCGCGCCGGGGGAGGTGGGGGTCTCCGGCCCGGCTGGGGCTGGCTCCCCCTGCACCCCCCGGCCCCCCAGCCGCCCACCCCTCCTGGATTTTCTGCTGGTGTCGCCTTCAGAATTCAACTCCTGGCTTCTCGGATAATCACCATTTTCCCTGCTACCCGCCGCCGAGGCTGCAAGACTTTCCCCTGCTCGGAAGGTCTCTCATCCCCGTCCTAACCCTCCACCCTTCCCGATGTGGGGCCCCCCAAGACCTTCCATCTGCTCGCAGTTGGGTTTCTGGGAATCTAGCGCTGTCCCTGGGGCCCAGCCACTCCTCTTCTCCATTTTGGGGTCTTCATGGCAAAATCATCCTGTTCCTTCATTGCCATCCCACCTCCGCGGCGCCTCGGTCAAGAGATCTCCCCACAATACTCCCCTTTGCCTTCATATTTCAGACCCCAAAGGCTTCAAGGATCCCTGGGGCAGGGGAGTGGGGGGATTTCATCAGATTTCCCGGACTCTGCTCTAGATTAATTTTGAGCTCTGGAGTGAATATGGAATTTGCTGATGCGAGATGCCATTGAATTCGGTTGTATTCATTTCTTGCCTGTCCATTCAAGCAACGGGGGGCTCCCTGAAAATGTAGTTGTTTGGGAGGGGTGGGCTTGTTGTTCTTTGACCAAAAACCCAATTCTCCGTGTCACATTCGTTTCTTTTGGAAAACCCGGGACCGAGGAGAAAGGAGAGGGAAAGAGGAATTCTGTTCCTGAGAAATGCGGATACAAAAGACATTTTAGTAAATAGGGCTAGGAACCCAGGCGCGGCGCTTGGGGGTCTAGGGGTGTGTGAAGGTACTGACTGGGTAATAAACAGCCCTTTGGGAGCCCCAGCTCCAGGGAGTCCCCTTGTTTTTCAAGTGGCCCGATTGCAGCCCCCCCTCCCCCTCGCAGGTCCCGGGGGCCAGCCAGGAAGACACACTGAAACCAGTTCTCTAAATTACACCCCGCCTTTCCCCAGCCTCCAGCCCCCTGCATTCCGGAAAACTTTAATTAAAGAATCTTCCCCTCCTGGACGTAGGAGAGCCCGGCCTGGGGGTGGGAGGTGAGGAGGAGAAGGAATTTGGGATCTGTGAGTAAGAAGGGGCCGTGGCCCTGGGTGAAAGTGAGAGAGAAGTGCCGCTGGGGCGCCCCACTGCCTGCGTGTCCCCATTCTCCCTGCTTGTCACCGCGAGCCTAGGAGAGGGGAGCCCAGCCAGCCAGATTTGGGGACCACACCCTGAGGCTTCCTCCAGTTGTTTGGAGGTAGCAGCATTTGTGTCTGGGTGTTTAGGGAGTTCCTGAGAAAGAGGGTTGGGTAGGAGCAAGACATGGCCAAGGGGCTTGTTTAAGGGTCCAGAGAGTTGCTCCCGGGACGACCCCCCAACCCCTCTTTTGCCTTCCCTGTGGCCAAAGACTGGCCTGAGGCCTCCTGTACATAAAGAAGCCTATGGGGTGGTGGCGGGGTGGGGGTGGGGGTGCTGCCAGTCTGGGGAGGGCTGCCTCACTGGCCACGGCTGACCTCTATCCCAGGGCCAATGCCAGTTCTGTCCCTACCCTACCCAAGCAGGGTAGGGTAGAAAGCCAAAGCGTGAGGTGGCAGAGACTAGGGGAGAGACAGCTGGCTCCCCTGCCCTAGGGCCTGGAGGAGGCATGTCCTGGGATAGTGCCAGTGGCAGGTGGTTGTTGGTGGGGTCTGTATGTAACATCTAGATAAGACCCACTGAGTAGGAAGAAGCACTGGAAAATGTGGAAAGCTGGGACATTGGCCCTAACATAAAGCTATATGTTTGGGGGCTGCGGGGGACAGGGATAATGCTTTGTCTGAGCTGAGGAGAGACCTCAATGGGTGTGTTTGTGTGTGTGTGTGTGTGTGTGTGTGTGTGTGTGTGTTCTGGATCTGTGACCCTAAGAGGTGTTTCTGTGCAGCAGCATGTCCCTGTGCAGGATGATTTGTGCCTCAGACTGGGCAACTGTGCAGGTGGAAGCTTATGGGATGTGCCTGGAGACTCATAGCCTATGGCAAGGTGTGCTGTGTGTGCACACAAGTATCAGCAAGTGGCCAATTCTGTTATATGGTGGTGGGTGGGGGGAGAGTCTAGAGGCTAGAAGTACCTTTGCCCATGGAAAGGTTGGTGCTTGTTTCTGCTTGTGATGTCGTGCGTGACTGTTAGTGACTGGGCATGTGAGTGTGGTGTCTGTGCGTGAGTGTGTGTGTGTGCGCATGCCTTCATGACAGTGTAGGGGAAAGCCCCATGGATGTCTTTGTGCATGAGATCAGTGCTCATGGCCATGACCTGATTGTGCTTCTCAAGTGTGAGCCTCATGTCTGTGCTATGTGAGGGCTGTGTTTAGGTCTGCTTGTGGCCCTGGAGGGAAGATCCAGCAGGAAGCAAACGTCTCACCAGGTAGCTTCAGGGCACACTGACCTGGGATCCCAAGCTGGGGCCGGACAAACTCTTCCTTGGCACCAGCTTTTTCTGTCTGCTTGAGGGCTGTGGGCCTGGTCCTCTCCTGAGGTCATTTTTCGTGGTCTTGGAGCTGGGGTGTGGGGTGGCTCAAAGTCTCAAGATTGGGCAGTGGGTGGGTCTCAGATTCCTGACCCCTCTCCTCTGGCAGGCAGATTCCAGTCCTTTGGCCTCTGAGCCCATCTTGTCTACTTCTTTGCTCACCCAGCTCGCACATTCTCCAGGAGGGACTGTAGGAGAATTAGTTTAGCTGGGATTTTTCTGTCATGCCTCCGTCAAGGAAGGGCTTCACCCCAGAAGCCTGTCCCTGAAGAGAAGATGAAGCTGAAGGGCGAAGAAAGGGGCAGTGTGGTCCAGGGCCGCCTAGTCAGGTATCAGAGGCCCTGAGCCCAGGTGCAGGCACAGCAGCCCTGATTTCTAAAATTGTCCTTGTCCGTTCTAGTCAAGGGCTCCTGGTGGAGAAACTTGTCTTTCGTCTCTTCCTTGAGGGAAAGCAACTTATCTTACTGAGGTCTAGCTCAGCACCTGCTGTATTCCAGAGCAAATGCCCTGAAGAAAGAGGCCTGAGTCGCGTGGAGGTCATCAGCTCAACCTGATGCTACGTGGCTAACAGGACCACTTCTCTGGTCCTATTTCCTCACCTTTCACCCAGGACTTCCAACCCGCCCTACCTCATAGCTTTGGTGAAGGTGCTTTGCTGAGGACATGGGCAGTGAGCTAGGAAATCAGACACTTAAATTCTTGGTCTACTACCCTGGGACCCATCTTCCAACTCAAGGACCTATGTTAAGCCCTGCCTCAGTTTCCCCATGTGCCAGATGTCCTCCTGCCTACTCCCACACACTCCTACCTCCACCCACCTCTCCCAGGCCTGTGAACATGTTCAGTCAAACCCCATGGGGGTCAGTAGGCTGGGCCCAGGGAGGCACCTGGAGACTGCGGGGGAGGAAGGCCCCAGGCCAGGTGTTAACACTTGTAACAGGCAGGAATTACAGCTGGCTGGGACTGGGGCTGAGGCTGGTGAGGAACTGAGCTGGCTGGAGGCTGTTGATCCCACAGACAGACAGACAGACAGACAGACAGATGAGCTGATACCAGAATAGATGGCCAGGCTTTAGCAGGGTGGTCTTCCTTCCAGGGCAGGCCTTGCCCCTGGGGGATGTGGCAGGGACGTGACCCAGGTCTTTTGGAAACGAGTTCATGGCCCACCTGTTCACACACTCTCATATGAGCTGGGGTTTGGATCCAAAGGGAACATAACTGGTGGCCAATACATTGGTATTCTTTTGGTGGGATCACATTTTATTTCAAAAGAAAACAAAAACAAAACAGGCCTGCCTTTTTAATAATACCAGAAATATGCCCTTAGAAGAATCTGCTTTAATATAAGGGAAGAGGCGGCTGTCAGAGAAAGTTTTCCCAAACCTCAGAGCATTTTTACCAACAGCATGGAAAGCTGAGAGGGGCCAAGAGGTGCGTGCTGGGTGGAGTCTGGACCCTGGGCCCTGAGGGTGTGGGGTGTCTGCTCTGCAATTAATCCTCCTGGTGGGAGGACCTCTCATGTGAAGGTCAGATGAGGCAGGAGCTGGACTTGGGTGCCAGTGCTTCTGGCACAGATGCCCTGATGCAGACCTAGCAGACCCTCTTAGTACCTGAACTCTCATATCACTGACAAAGGTGCGGATGCTGAGGCAGACAGAGGGCTTTCAGTGGAAACTTCCCAAAGAGAATAGATTCAGCCAAGCAAGTGTCTGGTACTCCACTGGCCACAGAGCTCAGCACTAATGGGCAGATTCGGGGCTGAGGTGCAATGCAAGTGAGCTGGGGAGGGAGCTGTGACCCTGGAGAAGAGGGCTCTCTGTGCTGGAAGAGGTCTGGGCAGGAGACAAGGAGTCTGGTGTCAGGGCATAAAAAGCGACTTTTCTTAGAGGAGGATACAGGTAATAGACCCAGGAGAGTGTGAAGGAAGGTGGGGTGTGTGGCCTCAAAACACAGATTGTGGCACTGAGACACCGTTCCACTACCCTGATGAATTCTCCCAAAGCTGGCGAGGAGGTGGAGGACATCCTTCACCTCTAACCGGTACAGAGGAGGTGTTACATCTGTATATTCACGGCATCTTTGCGCCGGAAATGGTTTGAGCCAGGAGTGGAGACCTGTGTTTGAGTTTTTTTTTTTTTGTCTTTTTCCTTTTTATTGGTACCAGGGATTGAACTCACGACTGCCTGCTTGCAAGGCAGGTGCTTATGCCACTGAGCTAAATCCCCAGCCCCTGTGTTTGAGTTCTGAGTTTCCCACCAAAAGGCTGTGACCCAGGATGAGTTTCTATCCCTCTCTTGACCACTCTTGAGGGTCCCTTCTATCTCTCAGCGTCGCAGGAGGGATCAGACTCATTGCTGTGAAACCTGAGTGTGCACAGCAGGCTTCCCGAACCTCCCTTGGCAGTGCACCCCTGTGTCTCTCATGGCATCCGCATCTT